CAGAAGCCAGCGCCAGCAAACGCGAAGAGCGAGGGGCTGGTCTTGGCCGGCCCAGCCAACCGCTGCTGACAAATATTTGTGAATGGCCGGAGCGGGAAAGCCTAGGTCTCCATTGTTGGGGAGCGAGGCCCATTCCCAAGTCTGTGCCCGTGGTTCCCTCCGCCCTCTCCGATGCTTCCTGGGCCCAGGACGTGGGCCCCGTGCGGTCACCACCGCAGAGGTCTCAGCCGTGGTTCAGCCCGTCTCTCCTGCAGAGGCTGGTTCTCAAAGAGGATAAGACACAGGCAAGGGGTGGCCACCAGGTGCCTCGGTGAGTTCACTGGGTTGGCACACTCCCTCCCAGGAGCCTCGGGAAGGCCCTCACCTCACTGAGCCTCAGTTGGCTTACCTATCGAATGGGAAGGAAAGTTTTGACCTGGCTGCACGCAGAGGCTACTCCCAGCAATCACTTGCCCTGAGTATTAGCAGGACCTTGTGTGTGGAGGAGGTAAAGGGAGAAGGGAGGGCGAGGCCTTGTGCCCTCCCTTCCCATGGTTTCTGGGCTCTTCCATTATTAGTGTTGCCCACCCAGCTAGGAGGGCACAGGTGGGGTGGACTCCCCTGTTTCCCCTCCCACCTATGGATGGTCCTGCGCACGTGCAAAGGAGCCTCCACCCAGCAGGAATGAGTCTGACGACAGCCACAAATGCCAGGCAGCACGAAGCATCCTTGGTGACTGCTGCAAGGTCTTTTGAACCAGGAAGACATGGAATGCCAGATCCCCCCGAACTTCCAGGGACGAACGGCAGAAGATCTGCAAGACCTAGTTGATTTCTTTCTGGAGCCCTTGACTGCCCACCAGCGTGCAGAAGTCACCTCCTTCCTCCTGTAGGTGGACAGAAGTTGTTTTCTATTCTTTCTGGGGTGCGGGGGTGCTGGGCAGAGAGAGGGAAATCCCTGGTATGGCGAGTGGGAAACCAGACAGTTCTGAGACGGATGTTGAGAAGGGCTTGATCAACCATCCTTTGGGGACATTTCTTGGGCCATAGCTCTCGGCGCCACGAAAGTTCTAAATAAGGATGACAAAAGTTGTGAGAATCAATCACTATCTGCCAGGGAATTTCCAAGCTTCCTCTCTGGATGTAAAAATAACTCACATTCAGAGAACAAAGAGAATGGAAGGAGAAATTAGTTGAAAGTAATTGAAAAATTAAAGGAGGGAGAATTGACAAGAAGTCACAGGCGCGTGGCACCCCAGGAAGTTGTGCGTGGACCGTAGCGTTTCTTCTGTGCATTCCCAGCGCGGTTGGTTTATGCTCCTCAGAGCGAGGGCTGCAGCCTTCCAGACTGACGGGGCGTCTGGGTTGATCTGGGCCCTCTGGCCAGGTGGGGATACAGTCGCTGGGGGCAAGCAACTCAAGGGCCCCGCTTGGCCTCAAGGGCCCTGCTTGGCCGGTGGGGCCCGACTCCCCACCGGGCGCTGGTGCTGGCGGTCCTTGCCCTGGGGCAGTGGGGAGTGAAACTGAGTGTTTATGGAGTACCCGTCGGTGCGGGAGGGTTTGCGATGGGGGGGTGTCAGGGCAGCATTGCCCTTGACCAGGACTGTGCTTCCGAGCCCACGAGAGCAAACCTGGACAACGAGGATGAGAAATCCCACGCCGGCTCCCGAGGAGGGCCCAGGGCACACCCAGGCAGCAGGGTTTGGTTCAGTGTACCAGACTTTTAGAGATATTTTTATAATGACTCTTAAGTTATTAAAGTAAGTACAGACAACGAAAACCCTTGGGCATCATACATAAAAACAAACACAGAACTCTGAAAGGTGGGAAGCAGACAGCCAGGCTAGGGACCTTGGCTGAAGAATGGCCCCGCGGTGAGTTCCTTGAGTTTTCCTCTTGGCTCGTTTATCCCAGACTTGGAGCTAAAGAAACTGGAAACCCAGAAACACCGTGAGGCATGGGCAGACGAAGGGAGCCCCAGCAGAAGCCTGCTGGCTATGGCCAAAGGACCAAGACGGGGGCAGCCTAGCAAGACAGGAAACCTTAGATAATAACTGCTCTCCTCCAGCCAAAACCCCAGAAAGAGCTGCAGCCCCACCCCCACCCACCACTCCAGTTAACCCCAGGGAGGGGCCTAGACTGCTAGGAGGTGCCCCAACGCCCGGTGGGGAGAAGGACCTGAGCTTCAGGGACCCATGGGACTGTAACTAAAAATCTGACATGCATGCCATCAGAATCCCAAAAGGAGAAGAGAAGAAGGATGGGGCTAAAAGATCACTCAAAGAAATTATGGCTAAAAGTTTCCCTGTGTTGCTGGCAGGATGGTCAAGTGGTATAGCCTGTCTGGAAAACAGTGTGAGACTTTCTTTGAAAACTAAAAATGCAACCACCATACCACCCAGCGGTGGTACTCCTGGGGCATTTATGCCAGGGAAATGAAAACTTATGCTCACACTAAAGCCTGCACCAAGTGTTCCTAGCAGCTTTATTCATCATAGCCCCAAAGGGGGGAGCAACCCAGCCACCCCTCAGTGGGCAGACGGTTCAGCATGCTGTACACATCCATAGTGCAAAATGCTACTCAGCAAACAAAAGGAACGACACAAGTGACAATTGAGATGAATCTCCAGGGAGTTATGCTAAGTGAAAAAAGCCAGTTGCAATGGGTTCCATACTAGATGACTACATTTATACAACACTCTGAAATGACAGAATTATAAATGAAAAACAGGCTGGGGGTGGGTGGGAGGGAGGTGGGTGTGGCTATAAAGAGCAACAGGGGCACCTTTGTGGCAATGGGAATGTTCTGTATCTTGACCATGTCAATGCAGACATCTTGGTAGTGATATTGTGCTGTGTGGTTTTGCATGATGTTACCTGAAGGGAAACTGGGTAAATAAAAAGTACAAGGGATCTCTCTGTATTATTCCTTGGCACTCATGTGAATTTATAATTGCCTCACAATGAAAAGTTTAATGAAGAAAATAAAATCATGTTCATTTAGGAAATAGAAAAGAAAAATCCACATCCCATCTTCCAAAGATAACCACTATTAGCATTTTAGTGTGCATCCTTCCAGATTTTCCAGTGCATATAAATACATGCCTTAAAAATGACACCACACTTCCACCAACAAGCATGAGCTTTTTTGCCGTGTCCTTAATCACTCCACGTTCAGTTTTTGCTCTGATGAACATTCGTGTGCCTAAATCCTTTTGCACATCTTTGATTGTTTCCTTTGGACACAGTGACACAAGTAGAATTCCAAGGTCCAGTGGTTTACATGTATTAAAGGCTTTTGAAACAAATTATCAAATTTCCCTTTAGAAAGATTGCACTAATTTCTATCCCTAATATACAGTGGGTTACATGGAAACAAAAAGAAGACTCTTGCATCTGTCCCTCACTCAGCTATTTTAATTCTCCCTGAAAGCTCTGCCACTAAGCTTTTCAGTGACAGCTTTTCAATGAAAAACAATTTTTTTTCATTAATTTTAATGGGAAAACAATAATGTATTTAACCCCAGCCTGAGATACCCCCAAATTTTCACAGACAAAATGTATCAAGCAAACATGGAAATTGAGTTTATATAAGTAATATGTAATAATTTGGAAATAAAGAAATACAGTTTGTTCATAAAATGCAATGCAGTGAAGGTCTGTGGTACCCAAGACAGGGCACAGAGGAGATGTGAGGCTCATTCTTTCTGCAAATTTTCTTCACCACTTTGCAACCTTTGAGGGGCTCATGCTTATCTTGTTCTTTAACTGCACTCCCAGTAGAGTTGGGACATGGAAACACGCTGAGAGTAAGATGGACACTGAACACAACGGTGCTTTGAGTGGCTGGAAGCGGCCCTTGCGCCAGCCTCAAGGGTCATGAGAATGCCCCTCGCCACCCCTTCACCTGCCTTTGGTCTGCAAATCAAAACGCTCGGGGTCCGTCCCATGGTGCACAACTCACATTTGTTCCATGTGCTATTCTCTGCCTAGACAGTGCTGTCAAGTAAATTGGTGAACCTGTCTTTACCCAAAACCGTCGTGTTAAATATCCCCTCTGTATTGATTTGCTAGGCCTGCCAGAACAAAGTACTGCTGGCTGGGTGGCTTAAACAACAGATATTTATTTTCTCTCAATTCCGGAACCCAGAAGTCCAAGATCAAGGTGTCCGCAGGGTTGGTTTCCACTGAGGCCTCTCTCGTTGTCTTGTGGACGGCGACCTTCTTGTTGTGTCCTCACGTGGTCTTTCCTGTCTGTGCACAGCATCCCGGATGTCTCTGTGTGCCCAAATATTCTCTTACTATGAGGACGCCAGTTAGAGTAGTTTGGAGCGGACCCTAATAGCCTCATTTTAACTTAATCACTTTTTTAAGGACCCTACCTCCAAATATAGTCACATTCTGAAGGACTGAGTGTTGGGGCCTCGACATATGAATTTGGGGGAAGTATGAGAAGGACACAATTTAGCCCGTAACAACTTCTCATTGTATATTCAGTTAGTGGGTTTGGGATGACAATGTCAGTGTATCAGAAAAGTTGTTTAAGAAGTGATCACTTTTCAAGGAGCGCTATGGTGAAAAGTCATTAATGAGATGGTGATTATGGGAGCCAGGTCTGTGTATGTTTCCTTGCCGGTACATGCATAGGATGTGTCTGGAAGATTCGTGATCTGGGAACAGGTGCTTCCAGAGCACATAACGCGTGGGGAGGTCACAGGCAGGAGGGTTCATCATGTACTCTATCAGATCTTTTTAATTTTGTTCCACATGCATGCATTCATGCATATTTTGCTAAGTGAATAAAGTACTGATTTTAAGTGAAGGATTGACTTAATTCCTCTGCAAAGCAGGGACCTGACTGGCTGTTCTCTGCCATAGCCCCAGGGCCTGTCACAGAGCCTGGCACATAGCAGGTGCTCAGGAAGTGTCTGTTGGAAGAATGGATGAACGGACAAGGCAGTGACAGCACCCTGACCGGCCACTCAGTGGTCCCACTCTCTGTCTTTCCCCTTCCATTTGCAGGCGACAGCAAAGACCTCCAGGAGGGAACAAGCCCCAGCAGCATGGTGACCATCAGCCGGGCAGCGCCAAACACAACAGGGACCACCAGAAACCCTACCAGGGGGGCTCAGCACCTCACCCCTCAGGGAGGCCCACCCACCACGGCTACAGCCAGAACCGGCGCTGGCACCACGGCAACATGAAGCACCCACCAGGCGACAAGGGGGAGGCAGGCACCCACCGCAATGCCAAAGAGATTGTGACCATCGAGAGCCCAAAACTTGAGGACACCCCGGGGGACACCGGGCATGGCGGCCTCGAGCCCCCCCGCAGCCCCGACACCCTGGCCCCAGTGGCTTCTGAGAGGCTGCCCCCGCCGCCGCCGGGAGCGCCGGAGGCCGAGACAAAGCGCAAAGACAGTGTTCTTCCCGAGCGCGTGGGGGAGCGGCCCAGAGTTACCCTGCTCCAGTCTTCCAAAGACAGACTGCGGCGAAGGCTAAAAGAAAAGGTACCGGTGATCGAAGTTTCGGTTTTCTCTTGCAGCAGGGAGGACAGTGAGAGGAGGCACAGTGGTAGGGGCGCAGGGCAGAGCCTCGTGGGTTTGAGGGTCCGGGGAGCCGTGTGGAGGGAAGCAGGGTCTTGGCTGGCTGTGGGGACCCACCACACGGGGACACTACTGCCTTGGGTGCCACTGGGCCACCAGAGCCGGCCTGTGGCCCGCTGCACATGGGTCCTCCAGGCACTCTGGCTCCTCACCCCCTGGCCCCCTAAGAGGCCCAGGGCGGGCACTTGGTACCCGGGTCAGATACCACCCCGTTCACGATAAAGGGCATTTGGGGAAACAGGACTTACAGAGTAAGAGGGACTGATGCTTCTCCACGAGCCGAGTGCCATGCAGTGGAGGCCCTGCCAGCGTGGGGGCCGAGGTGAGTTGGGCAGAGCGGGCGCAGGCCAGTCGCGTCTCCCTGTGGCCTGCAAAGGCTCCGGGGTGCGAACGGTAAGGAGGCTCCCCTCGGCGTGCTCCGCGCTGACTGCCAGCAGGACCCAGAGGGCGAGGCCTCCTGGCATTTGCTCCCCGGAGCCTGTGTCCTCACCCTGGTCCTGGCCTGGTCTCCAGTGCCTGGTCCGCAGCTTCAGAAGGAGGGGCCCAAGCCTCCAGGACAGGGACGGGGATGGGTCACTTACGGCATTAAGTCCGTGTGCTCACCCCCGCAGCACACCCCTGCTGCCCGCCCAGGGCACAGGTGAGGTCACCTTTGAGAGGAACCATACCAGGAAAGGCCGACTGGCCCACAGCCCTCCCCTCGCAGCACACAGAGCCTATGGGGGCTTCCTCTGCGACCTCCGCAGAGCTCGAGGTCCTGGGCGTCTCCTCCATCCTCCCTCTACTCCTCCATCCTCTCTCTCCCTCTCCATCCTCCCCAACCTTTTGCCCCAGGGCCCAGCCCCAAGGTCCACGCTCAGGCAGGATGAGGCAGGTCAGCCCTCTTCCTGGATCAACTTGAGATGAGATGCTGCTCCTGGTGTTCTCTGTGTCCCCCTGCGTTCCCTCTGCTTCCCCAGTGTCCCCTCCTCTGCTCCACATCCTCTTGGGGACAAGCAGCTGTGGGATCCTAGAGGAAAGCCTCACTGTTTCCTTACATCCCAAAGGTAGGCACTGGGGAGAGCTTCCCAAGCGAGGGCCAGTGCGTGCTCCCTGCCTGAAGAGCATCCGGGACAGGTTGCCATGGCCCGGCCAGGGAGAAGGACTGTCTGTCACATTCCCTAGAGCTCTGCTAAATGCAACTTTGGTGCGGCAGAGTGCAGCCAGCCAGACTCAGTCCTCGGTTTGCCTTTGACTGGCTGGGCGACCTTGGCGTGTCATCTAACCTTGCTGAGCCACAGTTTACTCATCTGTAAAATGGGTGTTATACTACCTACCTTGCAAAGAGACTGTGAAGAATGAATGAGATAACGTTGGAAGACCCTTGTCTTTTATAAGGGTCTATATGCAAACAACTATTCCTGCCCTGGGGCCCGGATGGGGGGAGGGGCGTGGGGGAGATGGAACAGAGAAGATGGATCTGTAGCACCCACTGATCAGTTTTAAGAACTCCCCTCATTCAAAGGCAATCATTCTAAAAAATAAAAAAAAAAAAAAAAAAAAAAAAGAACTCCCCTCAGGTGAGGCCTCCGGGACTCCTAGACCAGGAGGACATGGGCTTAGGCTCAGGCTGGGTCACTCTCCCCCGACTCACCCTAAAAAAGGGTGAACCCTGGGAACAGGTGAGCCACTAGTCCAGCCCACACGAGGTTTTCATCAAGGAGAGTGACACGTCCCTCTACCTTTCAAGGAACGGGCAAAGCATTAGATGTCCATGGGGGTGGGGGCTGTGTCTTGTGGACCCAACTCAGAGACCCAGACGAGTGTTCCTTGAGGACGTAGATGGGTTTGAGGGGCTCGAGGAGGACACCCAAGATGCAGCTCTCAGGTCTCAAGTGAGGGACCAGTTGCCCTTGGAACTCAGCCCCGCTAGGAACCCTCCATCCTCACCGTGTTACCCCTGAGGAAACTGAGGCCTGGCGAGTGAAACCGCTTGCCCAAAGCCACATGGCGAGCGATGGAGAGTGGGAGACAAAACCTTGGTCTGTGCCTCCTAGCCCAGGGCACCTATTGCTGAGAACAGAAGGACAAGTGTGGGTCACATCTCGTGACCATGATCCTGCTGTTTCGCCCGGACCTCACATCCCAGCAGTTACGTCAGTCTCATTCTTGGCCACCACTCTGCTCTATTTGAGTAAATACTTTTGACAGTCAGATGCCATTTCCTCCTTCCTGCAGCCCCTGGACTGGTCCCAGTTGCAGTGAAGGCTCATAAGGGGATAGGCCTTTTTATCTGAAATTTCCCTCCTGGAGGCGCCAGCTATTTTAGTGTCACACCGGCAGACTCCTGGGTGTGTAGCATTTGTGTGTAGAAGGCTGGCACAGTCTCTGTAGGATGCAAAGCCAGGGTCGTGTCCACATGGCACCCTGTGCCCAGAGAACGTGACTGGCCTTGGGCATGTAGAGGATGTGGAGGACAAGGTGGCTGCTCCCCGGGCCACTTCTAACCACCACTGCAGGCATTTTAGATCTTGCCCACCTTCCTGACCTAGTCTTCCTACCCTCATTCTCTTTTTTGGCCCAATTTCTTGTATGTTGTCTTGATTTAATGGGGCTTACACAAGATGAAATATTAAATAAGATTTCTAGATTAAGACATTTGATGGACCAATAGACCAGAAAAGCCAATGTATACGAGAACCCTGGGTAGGAGCTAGAACTCACAAGGAACATCAGCCCAGAATGCCGCTAGGGCCAAGAAAAAAGTCAACAAAGAGCTTCAGGGCATGAGGGGTCTCTGGTGGCAGTTCGCATTCCCAGAGGGACCACACCTCAGGACCAGGGAGGTAGGGCCGGTTCCGCTTTCTGGGGGTGGCAGCCCTCCTTCCACCAGGCCGCCCCCTGCGGGAACCCGGGCGTCCCTCAGGCACGCCCGTCTGTCTCCCACACCCCCAGGAGGAAGTGGCGGTGGAGACGACCAGCCCCCAGCAGAACAAGATGGACAAGCTGATGGAGATCCTGAACAGCATGCGGAACAACAGCAGCGACGTGGACGCCAAGCTCACCACCTTCATGGAGGAGGCGCAGAACTCCACCAACTCCGAGGAGATGCTGGGAGAGATCGTGCGGACCATCTACCAGAAGGCCGTGTCTGACCGCAGCTTCGCCTTCACCGCCGCCAAGCTGTGCGACAAGATGGCGCTCTTCATGGTGGAGGGCACCAAGTTCCGGAGCCTGCTCCTCAACATGCTCCAGGTAACGGGGCGCGGCAGCTGCCCCTCTGCGCCCGTCCAGGGGTTATTAGTAGCGAGGAGGCTGCAAATTCTAACCACAGTTGAACTTTCCCCAAGTTTCCCCCTCGCCCGAGTAATTATAGCAAACAGAAAGGCGGCGGAGGGGCAGGGGATGAGTGGCCAGATTTGCGTGTGTTTGTGTGCGTGCTCCATGGTAACGATGCACCAATATAATTTTATAGGTGCTTTGTGTTGAACCAGCCTTTCCCTCTTTCTATTTTCATGATAAGAGGCTGAGCCTGGCCTGTGCTTTGACCTCTCTCTGTCTGGGCAGACATGGACTTGCTGTGAACGGCTCTCTTCCTCCTCCACACCCTAGGACCGCACCCTCGTACGTTTGCAGCTGTGCAGCTGGTCGTAGCCGGTACCGAGATGGGTTTAAGCAAAGCCACACAGGAGCTGGAAAAGGACAGTCCGTCTGCCAGACACTGGGGCTCCTAGGCAGAGGGGAAGCGTGGCAATGCAAGCTTGTCTATTCCAGTTAATATCCCTTCACCCCGGGGAGCTTACCCCCACCTTTGCTCATTGCTTCCCCATGGGGACCAGCATCCCGCCGTGGTTTTATGGGCATGAGTATGTAGTCACGTGGGCATGTGCACTTAGACCGAGCCCGGCACCGTTTCATCTCGCAAGTACCTGCTCTTCTGTCCTGGGCAGTAGCGGGTGAACTGGTGGCATCAGAGAGAGATACCAGGGGACATAGATAGCATGGTGGCCACATCGGGCCCTGGGACCACCCTGGAAGTCGTGGCTGGGGGAACGCCATCTCTCCTCTTACTTGGTACTTTAGAGACTTGTTGAGATATAAATCGAGTTGCCAGGCCAGGCAAGGTGAAACAGACTGGGAAGTTATGGACGTGGAATTACAGAGCTGCAGACACCACCCGCAGGTCTGTCTTACCTGGGGTGACCATGTCATAGAGCATCCAAACTGTAAGACTTCTGCAAGCCAACAGGGGCTCCACCCATCACTGTGCCCAGACAGCAGGTGTGAACGAGGGCATTGTCCCCCTGTCTCACACTTGGTTCCTGGTCTGCCATCTCTTCCCTGAAAGCTGAGCAAGTTGCTGCTGGGCCCCGCAGGGCTCTGTCCCGCCCACCCTCTCCTCTTCCGCGTGCGTCTGGCCCACTGCAACATGAGCCCTCCCTGGCCAGCCCCGCTGCCTCTCTCCTGCTCCAGGCCTGATCGGGTTCCCATTCCTGGATCGCCCGCGCTCCCCTGGTGACGAATTCCCGCATTACCTGAGGGATTTGCACATCGGGCATGTTCCTCGCGGGCCGGAATGTCCTGGGAGAGCGCAGAGAGTGACGGGCAGGGAGAAGTCTGTCTGCCACGGACCCCCCGGCACAGGGGAGCCAGGGACGGGATCAGCCTGTGGCCTTGGCTTTGGGTTCTGTTTTTCAAAGAAGGGCAGGGATGGGGCAAGAGTTCTAGACAGTGGCTGCCAGTCTGAGTGACCCAGCCAGACCCAGTGCGGACAGACGCCCAGGGCAGCGGGCAGGGCGGCTGGCTGCAGGGCCCACCCCATGCCGGGCATTTCCTCCAGCCAGCCGTGGGAAGAGCAGCCTCACCGGTGTCCAGTGGAGCATCAGTCTCCGGAAACGCTCAGCCCCAGCTGGGGCTCCATGGCCCCTGCGCTCGCCTGTCCGCCAGCCGCAAAGTTAGGACAGGCTCCGCGCGCAGCAGGGAGAGACCCTGTTCGGCTGCGTTTCACTCAGCGCAGCCCTCGTTGCATTGCTCGGCTAGGAACTTCGTGTGGGATCCGTGTGCTGAGAGACACAGTTCGGCAAACACGGGGGTAGGAGAAAGGCACTAAGCTGACAGCTGGGAGACTCGGGTTCTAGACCTGATGCAGCCGTCAGTCGGAGCTTGGTCTCTGCCCGCCTGCTGGGAACGTGCCCACACTGGCTCTCCGGTTCACCTTCCGATATGTGCTGCTGGAGATGAGCCGGGCCCTTGGGGACGGGAACGAGTGACCCCCCCATGACAGTCTTCCTTTCCCACTCTGCCCAGGCCTTACCACTGGCATGCAACAGTCCCGGGTCCTCCTAGACCCCACAAACCTGCTTTTACCCCGTGTCGTAGCTCAATGATAGCTCTGCATGAGCGAGAGGGGCTCAATGATAGCTCTGTATGAGTGATAGGGGCTTGGGGGCAAGCTCAGGAGACGCAACCCTACAGCTGCCACCTTGTCTTTGGGGCAGAGGAGAACTGGCACCCCCAAATCCTGCTCCCCACTCCCCTCCCACCACTCTCCAGCCAGCCCAAACCTCCTCTCCTGCTGCACCCTGAGTAAACGGACTCTCCTGTCCAAAATTTACTTCCCAGCCCACCCCGAACATCCACCCCTCTGCCGGGACGAATCACGCTCATGCTTCAGGTGGTGCTGGGGCCCCACTTTCCAGGAAGCAGCCAGCTGTCCCCTGTCCCAGCACCTGCTGCCTGTAGCCACAAACATCCAGTCACCCTGCTAGTATTTGCTGCGTATCCGTGTGTGCCAGGCACCGGCCTCAGGGCTGAGGATCCAGTGGTCAATAAATGACATGGCTTTGTCCTGAAGAGGTTTGCAGGGAGGAAGGATCAGAACCTCAGCCAATGACTGCGTGAACACACGGTGACAGAGTGGGGTGCATGCTGCTACTGCCCACCTCACCCACCCTGGGCTCTAGGACGGGGAGTCATCTCTGCATCCTGGTGCCTGCACCAGTGCCTGGTGCTTGGAGGGCCCTCAGCCATCATGGAGAAATGGATGTGTGAAGAGGAAGGTGCTAGAAGCCTCATCTCTCCCTTCTCCCAGGCCGTGGGCCTGAGGACGGCTGCAGTCCAGGGCAAGAAGGGAGCCCCAGGGGCAGGCAGAGCTCACATTCTGAGGCTCTAGGCAGCTCATGCTCCCTCCCCACGTGTCAGACACCAGCCATTGCCTGGGTGGAGCATTTGTGGGTCAGGTATTTAGAAATCTGAATGTCCCCATAGGCCACCAGTCACCCCTCTGCACTACCCGCAGCTCTGGCTTTTGTGCGAGACAAGGAGGGACCCCCTTGTAGGGTATAACGGAGGGCTGGAGGTGGGTGCCAGGCCTCCTGGGTGGCCGGTCACAGCGTGGCTGTGCTGGGGCAAGGCTGCCCCGAGCCCCCGACGGCCCCCTGACCCCCGGCCTGGAGGACCCCAACGCTGTGTCTGGGCTTTCTCAGGCCCTGCTGCTCCTCTCTGAGGCCAAGGCGGTGTGGGGTGGAGCAGGGCTTGCTGGACACCATGATTCGTGGCCATTCGCCACCCAAAGCAAGAGGCACGGGAGAAGGAAGTGGTGCGCACGGCGCAGTAAGCCCTGCTCTCCCTCTTAACACCTGCAGGGATGTCCTTTCTCACTTGCCTTCTTCTCCTGGCAGAGTGTGCTGTGTCCCTCTCCCGGCCAGCCGTCCTGGCCCGGCCTGCAGAGCCCTCGCCTCCCCTTTCTCCGAGGGCCACGCTCAGCTCCATCCACTTCAGGCCCCCCATTCGGCGGCCTCTGAGATGCCCCTCGTGTGGTCAGGTTTGGCTGCAACCTCCCCACACGGGTTCTAAGACCCGGCTTAGTGACGCTGGCAGCAAAGGGGCCAGCGTGTGAAGTGCCCCGCGAGCACGGCTCCCAGCAGCTGTCTTTGGACGTTGCCCTCCCTGGCTGACTGCTCTTGCTGCCTGGGCTTCGATGATGGGAGCTGGCGACATGGAAGGGAGAGAGGCAGCCTCTGATGTGGTTAACGCTCTGCCTCAGAGGTCTGCGAGTGGCCTGCCTGGCTACCGTGCAGCCCCCATGTTGCGGGAAGCAGGGGGTGGGGGAAGATCAAAGGTCCTTTAACCCTTCCCAGCCAGACTCAACATCACCATCTCAAGAAACCTAGAAGATCTGCCCTCATGAGCCACGACAGTACCAGAGACCCTGGGGTCTCAGTGGACCCCATCACCTATCCCACAGCTCAAAACTGGTATTCAATTTTTACATCCAAACTAACTCTTTTTTGCCTTAGATGTGGCCCTTTGCTTACTGGTGTTCTTGTAAATAAGCTATAGATCTATTTATGAAACAGACTTTTTTAATTTTTAATTTTTTTTTTTTTGAGACAAGGTCTCTCTCTGTCAGCCATGCTAAGGTGCAGTGACATCATCATAGCTCACTACAGCCTCACATTCCTGGGCTCAAGCAATCCTCCTGCCTCAACCTCCCGAGTGGTAGCCTCCCACCATGCCTGGCTAATGAGACCTTTTTTAAACATGCCAAGCATGTAGTGTTTGCTAGATCAGTGATTCTCAAACTTGAATATGCATAGGAATCACGTGGGGTTTTGTGTAAATGCAGATTCGGATGCAGTAGGTCTGGGATGGGGCCTGAGATTCTGCATTTCCAACAAACAGGTGCTGCTGGTCCAGGGACCAAGGCATTGGATGACCAAAGGTTTGTAGGTGATGAGTTTGTTTCACAGGTGGGCAAACTGAGGCACAGTCTGCTATTGGTGTGATTGTCAGCAGAGGGGACCCAGCCTGGGAATCACGTTTCAGACACTGGGCCTTCTTTAGGTCAGTGGTTCTCAACCTAGCTGGACACTGGGCTCGCATGGAGAGCTTCTTACACACACTGGCACAGGGCCCTCCCGCCAATCAGTTGGATTACAGTCTCCAGGAACAGGGCCTGGGCAGCCTTTTTAAGAACTCCTCAGGTGATTCTAAGGTGCAGCTGAGGTTGACCACCACCATTCAGGAGACACCCCAGAGACGCCAAGATTGTCCATCGTTGAGCCATCTGGCTCTACCTGTCGCGTGGTTAGCCAGTCAACAAACACCTGTCGGGTGCTGGGCTCCGTGCGGAACTACGCATAGGACTCAGAGCCCGAGCCAGTGGGAGAGCACTGAGGCAGGAGACCTGACCGCCGAGCTGACCTTCAGCTCCTCCAGCCTCGGTTTCCCCTCACCGTCATCCTGAGACCCCT